TGATTAAAGAGAAATATCAGTTAGACTAAAACTTAATAGATTATACAAGTAATTATAATATTTTGATATGTTTCCATTTATATAAAGTTATGCATATTACAACAATATTACTTTTTAAACAATAACGACTATTAATTACAAGGTATGAATATTTGTTTTTTTATTTAGTTTTTGAACAAAGCCCAATCTTATTTTCATTATTTTAAAGCTATTATTCTATTATTCAATTAAATAATTAAATAGCTATTATTCAATTTTTATTATTCAAATTAAATATTTAATAAAATAAAAATTTATTATAATAAAAATTTATTATAATAAAAATTTATTATAATAAAAATTTATTATAATAAAAAATTATTATTCAAATTAAATAGCTATTATTCAATTTAAAAAAAAATTAATTTTATCAAAACGATAATAACGTAATAAGACTAAACATAAACATAGCTTTATGATATCTATTTTTGGAACATTTGGAACCGAAGTTGCGGCAAGAAAAAAATCTTAAATTTAACCGGAGTAGAAACTGTAATTGAAAACACCAATCAAAATTGTAGCCGAAAACGGAACTGAACTGAAATTTTGTTGATCATTATTTGTTATGCTATTTTCACCAGATCGCATTTTGCTATTTTCATCTGCTCTAAAATTACTAAAAACAAAACAAAAAAACTGAAGGTATTAAGTTATGATAAGATGTTTTGAGAATTTAAAAAACGGCTAACCTTATAAAAAGTATTCTAGATAAGGAACACTATATGAGATCAAGATAGACAATAATATATATATATCAGGGGCGGATGCAGGATTTTTTGTGGGTGTTGCCTGTTTTTTTTCAAGTTGTCAAAATAGTATGCAATATTTTTTTTGTAAGCCCCTTCCCCGGGCTAGCGAGGGGGGGGGGGGGGAGTTCAAAGCGGTATCAGTACTTTATTATTACTTACCGGGCATTGTTCTCAATTACCCATATAAAACAAAACTAACAACAACATTGCCTTGGCTATTCTGTTCATAAATTAGACATTTTTTACTTGTCTAACCTATTTAACGAAGTGCACCAACGAGAAGGTAAGCCATAGGACTTTGCACTCCATCTGTAAACTGTCATGTGGCCTAAGGTTAGCCCTCCATTTCTGGATTCTTTCCTTTTCTTGATAGGCAGTTAGTGTAAAGTAATTGTATTGTTGCCTTAGGTTAGCCCTCCATTTCTGGATTCTTTCCTTTTCTTGATAGGCAGTTAGTGTAAAGTAATTGTATTGTTGCCTTAGGTTAGCCCTCCATTTCTGGATTCTTTTTTTTTCTTGATAGGCAGTTTGTGTAAAGTAATTGTATTGTTGCCTTAGGTTAGTCCTCCATTTCTGGATTCTTACCTCTTCTTGATAGGCAGTTAATGTAAATTATTAATATTATTACCTTGGGTTAGCCATCCCTTTCTGGATTCTTTCCTTTTCTTGAAAGGCAGTTTATGTAAAGTATTAATATTGTTGCCTTAGGTTAGCCCTCCATTTCTGGATTCTTTCCTTTTCTTGATAGGCAGTTAGGCCAATTTTTTTTTTTAAGTTTTTTTTTATTTATTTTTTATTTTGTTTTTTCTAATTTTCATGAAATATAAAATAAACTTAAATATAAAACAAACTAAAATACAATAATATAGTCAATAAATAAAAAAGAAATTAATAAATTAATATTAGGTAAAAACTAACTCTAAGCGTCGTTCCCCTAAAACAGAAAAAATATTAAAAACTCTTTCTACATCAGGAATTATTTCTTGATGAATAGACATCAGAGCTAAAGAATTAAATCTTGACTCTGTCATGCGGCTTTGCATTTAAGTTTTCAGTCTGCGTATAACAGAAATGCTCCTCTCGCATTCCCATGTAGTAATTGGAATTGTTCCCATTATTAAAAACCTTCCCTAATGTTTGGGAAACCCCTCATATCAATAGATTTTAAAGTTTCTGTAATAGTGGATGGGATCACAGATTGATTGTTCCAAAATGCTTCCCACAAATCTAAATCAGCATGAATTGATGTAGGATGAGGCATATCCGATATATAAAAATGCAAAAATTCTATAAAATCTAGCTTCCAAAAACATTTTTCTTTATTTTTTTTTACAACAGTTGCAGGAATACCAGATAAACCTTTGTAAACAACCATATCACCTATATCAAATCTATCTTCTAACTCATTAATTAAATGATCTAGAAGAGGAGATGTGATGAAATATTTGAAATAATCTGAAACTGTGTCAGAGGGATAATTATCTCTATAAATTTGTCTGCCACAGAGCCTTGGTTTAACTTCTGAAACATCAAGAGTCTTAGCTAGATCAAGAGCAATTAAGTACCATTCGTTATGATAGACATCAATATTTTTTTTTAAATCTAAAATTTGAGTTTTTAAACAATTTATTTCATTACACTGTTGTGATATATCAAACGCTTTAGTTTGAAGAACAACAGTGATGGCATAGAAATAGTCCATTATTTGTTTGGTTAAAACTAAACTTACAATAAAAGAAAAATTAGTCATAAGATTTAAAAAACATGAAGCTTTTGAAGAAGTATCAATATTATAACTCTTACCTTCATTGTATGCCATTTCTTCCATTGAATGAAAAACAGATATGTAGTTATCAAAAAAAACATCCAAACCTTTAAGTTTCTGAACCCATCTAGTTCGACATGTATCGATTAATTTTGCTTGACCAGGAAAAATAAATTTATTAAGACAGCTGGCACGTTTAGGTGATAAGTTAAAAATATATGATATATCTTTGATTTGATCAAGAACATTTCTAACACTCTGAACATTGCATGATTTACTTACAACTAAATTAAGTTTATGGCATGCACAGTGAACAAAAATCGCCTTTGAATTGATAAATTTAATTCTTGATGAAATACCTTTTAATTTACCAGACATTGCCCCAGCACCATCATATCCTTGACCTCTACATTTTTGGATATCAAGACCAAGATCATCAATTGCAGAAACTATGTTTTGCACAAGACTAAGACCAGTTGTACTAGATTTACATTCAATGAACCGTAGAAAATCTTCACAAATAACATTATCACAGTCAATGTATCTTATAACTAGAGGTAGCTGTTCAACATTAGAACAATCAGAGGCTCCATCACACAAGATAGAAAAATAACCTGAATTTTTAATTTTATTAATTAGAACTTCTTCGATTGTTTTTCCACAGCATTCAATAAGTTCATTTTGTGTGGTTTTAGATATATAGGTTGCATTTTTAGGAGCAGAACGAATGTGGAGCTCAAGAACTTTATCACCTGCTTCAATGCGAAAATTTAAAAGCTCTACAAAGTTACCTATACCAATGTTGTTTTTACATGTTTCTCCAATCTCTGGATGATACTTACTGTCATCACGATGAACTCGAAAAGCAATATTATTGCGGCCAAGAAAAGTAATTGTATAATTGGAATTAATTTATTTCGATTACTAAAATGATTGTTTCTTTTTTTCACCAGAAATAGGAAAAACAAAAGACGAGTTAGGAATAAATATTTTATTAACTAGATCTAATAACATTGAATCATCTTTGCCAGCAGATAGTTGTCTACCGCGCTCATAGTAAGTAGAAACATAAAAAGGAAGGCTTTAAGACTAATCTGATGAACAAGGAATATAATTAAGTAAGATTGGATTAGGAGTAATATCAATATTTACATCTATAATTTTAGTTTCATTACTTATGTCAAACTTTATGTGAGATTGAACTAATGATTTTTTTTTTGAAAATAGATTTTTAGGAGGTTGACAAGATAAATTAAGAACCTTAGTGTTAACAGAAAAATGCGATAAAACACTTGGAAAAACTGAACACAATCCTCTTTTTAAATCACTTTTGACAAATTTTTTTGAGCATAAAACTTTTCACAATAGGGACAAAATGATTTGGTGACCACATATCTTTATCCTTGGAAATAGAGGGACAATCAGTGTTACACCATAAAATACTCAGAATTTCTTTATTTATTTTATGATCACCACGTGGGTATATACATACATTAAATAACTTTTCATATTTTTCAAGTCCAAATTCAGGATAAATAGACCGAATTTGTTTATTTAACACTGTAGATAATGCAATTAAACAAAGAAAAGAAGCAAATTTATTGTTTCTGCAATTGTTATAGGCTTCTTTTTTTATAAGTTCAGCAATATTTATATCATTTAATTCTGTAAAAGAATCAGAAGACTCAAATGAAATACATGCCATGAAAACACTAGAGAGTGAGGAAAAACTTTTAGATTCCACTTGGTTTAAGATTATCTCGAATAAAAGGTTGCTTTCTCAAACAACTCAACAGAAGTTAATAGTCGAAGAATTTCATGTGTTTTATCTGATGAATTTATTAATAAAGCAGCAGAGTTGTAAAGACAGTTACCATTCTCCTTTGACCTGTTTAGTCATAACATTATATATATATATATATATATATATATATATATATATATATATATATATATATATATATATATATATATATATATATATATATATATATATATAAATATATATATATATATATATATATATATATATATAATGTCCCCGTAAGTGTTCGTTTTTTGTAAAATCTGTATCTGTAAGTGATATATATATATATATATATATATATATATATATATATTATATATATATATAGTATATATATATATATATATATATATATATATATATATATATATAGATAAATATATATATATATATATATTATATATATATATATATATATATATATATATATATATATATATATAATGTCCCCGTAAGTGTTCGTTTTTTGTAAAATCTGTATCTGTAAGTGATATATATATATATATATATATATATATATATATATATATATATATATATATATATATATATATATATATATATATATATATATATACAATATATATATATATTTATATTCAAATTTTGATTTATTTTAAAATATTTTTGAATATTTTAGATTTGCTAACAAAACCATTGGGGAACTGTGCTACCACTATAGGAAGCTATATAGATTGTATGAACAACACTAAAAATAACACAATATATTATCATCCTTGTCCTTATCTTTTTTTTGAATCAGGTAACACAAATTTTTCAGGTTGACATAATATTTTGTTTTTTATTGATATGTTTTTAATTTATATTTCTTTAATTATTTTTTCTACCTCCTATGGCATACAATAATCAATCAATCAATCATTCAATTTAGTTGATATGGTTAAGGCCTAGACAATAAAGATACAATAAATAAAAATAATATATAAATAACTGAGAACTTGAGCATAAATCAAAAAATGTTATAAATAAATGCAAGCTTCTCAGTTTTACATTAATGGAAACTGCAAGAATCTGTCTGGTTTTGCAAAGCTATAATTAATAAAGCTATCACCCTTCTGCAACAATAACATCAAAAAGTTATTTTGTTAATAAAAAACCATATTGCGTAAGGGTTTAACACAACATTCAAAGTCAGTTTGCTACATATAAAATCAGACAAAATGTGTTATGTATTGTATCGTTAATAAAACACGACTAATAGGAAAATAGCAATATATAACATCTTTTATATGTAAGTCATCTTTTTATACTTATTATTTACAATCGCCACGTATATATAAAAACACTGTTACAGTTTTTCCACAAATAACAAATCTTTACGGCTTTACACTTATTGGCTTTTGCCTCCTTGTCAATTCAATATATATTTCTGAAATACTTGGCTAGTTGGTTACATTTTAAGGTTGTTTATAAATAGTTAGATTACTAACATTAAGCAGTGACAAACTTGAAGTTTATTTGGTGATACCACCTTTTTTTTGGCAATGTTTTTTTTTTTTTGGGGGGGGGGGGGGGGCATTAATATCTGCAACGATAATTTGTACAATATTTGATGTCGATTCAGTTTCAAAAATTCTTAAGTTTGCCTAGGACTTAAATAATTGTACAATTGAATTGTTTCAGATGGTGATAACATTTTTGTAATTTAGGTTTAGACATTAGTTCCTAAATTTTAGGTATGATTGTGACCTGACTTTAGGTATCAATTTCCATTTTTTATTGTAATCATTTAAATTTCCATTTACCTTTGAGTTTGTATCATTCATGTTAATGGAATATACAATAGCATCATTGTTTTCTATTTCCTCTACTGTTCTTTTATACTTAAAGTTTGCTTCACATACTTTTTTAAAATGGTCCAATTTTCTACATTTTTTACAACTTTTCCCAAATGCTGGGCACTTCCTAGGTATGTGTTGAAGACCACAATATTTGCATTTAATTGTTTTTTCTTTATTTTTATTGATATAATTAAGTGAAGAGATGTCTGTGTTGTTTTCAATGTTGCTTTGTATAGTAAAAGAGGATATTTGTTCAAGTTGTCTGATAAAATCAACACTTGCTCCTTAGTTTAGGCCACTCTCCACTCTGTAGCATTTTTAAAGCTTTAATTCTCTGATCAGAAGATCATAGGCCTGTATATATATATATATATATATATATATATATATATATATATATATATATATATATATATATATATATATATATATATATATATATATTTATACACAGGCTTGGATGGGAAGCAGGTGCGATCGCACTCGATAACTGACCACGAATATAATATTTAGTTGCGTAAAACCAGCCAGATTTTTTAGTTGTTTTGAGAACATTTAAGTTTGTGTATGTTTCCTTGTTTGTCCGCAAAATAATAATTAAGTTCATTATTTTATCGTAAATTTTAAAATATTCTGTTTTACGGACATACATGGAAACATACATAAACTTAAATGTTCTCAAACATCTTTGTGCAGAAAAATAAAAAAAGAATATTAGCTAATATTAAAAAAAAAGAATAATATCCAAATCTATTAACAACTAATTCTATTTGTTCAAAAAATACTAACCAAAGTTTCTAGAGAATTCAAAAATTACTAACAGAATGTTCTAGAGTATTCTATTGAAATATTTTTAAAAATTGCATTATTTGAGTTTTGTTATGTTTTCGTTGAGATTTTTAGCATAAATTGCTTTAAGATCAAACGAACTATTATTTTATTTCTCAGAGCCACACCTACAAAGCTATAAATGTTTTAAACTAACATTATTTGTTTACAAAAATAAATGTTTTAAATTTACATTTTTTAACTTGTCAACGTTTTGTAAATATATTATAGGTTTTATTAGTATATTATTTTTTTATATATAAGGGATGTATTTTAGTATTAGTCATCTTGAGAACATTTCAAAAAACAAAAAAAAGTGCGCTAAAGATTAATTGGGCCGATGAGAGGCAATTGCAAAAAATAAAAAAAAAAATAAGGAAAATAAAATATCTTTTAACGCAAAAAAACTTAAAGCAAAATAAATTACGTTTAGAACAAATATTTTTGAAACATCGCTCTATTATAATTTTTTTATAAAAATAAGCGATGTTTTTTTATTCAAAGTAACATCTTACAATTGTTTAAAAAGGAAACAAATCTTCTTTATTTAACAAAGAGTGTAATATAATTTTTATTTATATACTCGTGACTTAATTCACGAGTATATAAATAAAAGTCCTAGATTAAGGAGGGTTAGAGGGGGCTATAGCCCCGCAATGTTAGGGCCCCAAAAAACTCATGAAGACCTTTTCGTTTAGTCATTTTTACTCTGTTACCCATACAAAGGCATCCAAAATAAAAATAGCCCCTAGCCCTAAAAAGTCTATCAAGATTCTA